TTTTACCCTTGGTCGTCCTACCACTTCACTCTTCTATATAATAGAAATATATATATATATATATATATATATATATATTTATTTATTTAATTTTCTAATACAAATATAGGATCTACGAAAAAACTAGTGAATTTGTCCGAATCATGAACCCTACCTAGCTCCTCCTCTAATGAAAGTTACTATGCATCACAAATAATCTAAAATTGAAACACTTTAGTAGATGTGAAGAAATCATAATTAATATAAATACTATTTTTATAATATTCCTCAATAAATTCACAGTCGCTATTTTTCAGATTGAATGAACCTCCTCCTATGCAGATATTCATGAGACGCAACACGAACAATAATTTAATTAATTAAGCAATCTCTTTAGTCTTTGGTCAAGGGAAAATGACTATGTTTGATTTAGTCAACAGGTTGATTTCTTATTTTGGCTATTTCCAATTTTGAACTATGATCAATACAAGTAGTGCAGAAGCAATCATAAAAATCGTGAATTACTGAGAAATTTATGCTATAAAGTATAATTTTTTATTTAATTTTTCATCAAATCGGTTCATTTAAAAATCGTATAGTGAAAAATATATTTTCATAGAAATAGTGAGAAACTTCATAAGTTTTTTTCATAATTTTTTTTTACACTGGTTCAATCAAAATATATATTTATGAAAAGAGTTACTAAACATTTTTTTAATAGGTAAAAATAGAGTCTTTTTTTAATAGTAGTTCATTTTAATGATGTGTTTTGAGGTTCTTTGTAGTTTGTACCATATCATATTCAAACTATATAGTACCATCAACATTAACAAACTATATGATTAAAAAATTAGCACATAAAAATATATAATCTTAGGTTGATTTTGAACTATATATGTAAGGTAGTACGAGTAGAAGAATTGATAATATGATATTGTAAAGATTGCATACACTACAAATGTATTTTAAAATCTTACAACATATTACTTGTCATATTTCATGTTATTAATTTCACTTACTACCAAAAAGAAAAGAAAAAACACTAACACTACAATCAGTAAACACCTCTCACATATTGGCGGAAAAAATAATAATTAATGCACATAAAAATAATAAATGTTGAATTAACAATTAGTGACTTAGTAGTACAGATATTAACAGAAGAATTAAACAAAAATGGAGGCAATATTATAATATAGGTCAAATATAATGAACAGTTTTTTTTATAGACTAGACACTTAGACATTTTGCAAGTTGTAATGTTACATCATATTCATCCATAGCCGACGCTAAAAACAAATTTTATTTTGGCACGGAATTTATGGGGAAAAAAAAGAAATTTAAAATTTGTGATCTAAAACAAAATTTATAATCTATTTGATTATAAATTATTTCATTAATTAAGGTCAAATTGAAAGTTTAAAGCTTAATTATTAGTAGTAAAAATAAAAATGTATCATTTTTATCTAATCAGATTAATAAAAAAATGTATCACATAAATTTAGATCGAGAAAATATCATTTTAAGACAAGTTGCTCAAGTTTGTCACCTTTCTCTCTATATATAGAAGCAAACAATTATCTAATTACTATTTCATGTTATAAGACAAACTTGCAATATAGAAAGAAAAAAATGGATTCTTATTCATATGTTATTTCTTCTAATAATTCTTCTTCAACATATCCACAACAAGAACAAAAGAAAAATAAAAAATTACCCTCATATCATTCCTCACTTCATGGAGTTAGAAGGCACCCATTTAAACCAATGACTAAACTACCAATTGCACCTTTGCCACCAACACCTCCTAAAATATATAGAGTTGAACCTAATGATTTCAAGGATGTTGTCCAAATGCTCACTTCATCTCCCGAGTTTCAATCTGTCTCTAATGATTCTATCTCTCGTTTTGATTCTGGTTCTGGTTTTGGCTCTCGCTCTAGTTCTTTTAATTCGAGGCGTTTACAGGATATTGCTCCTCCTCCACTTGATCTTTCACCAGTTTCATTACAAAGAAGTAACAACAACAACAACAACAACAATAATAATAATGATGTTCTTGCACAATGGCGCGAGTTCCTTCTTCCTTCTTCTTCTACAAACGACCAATTTGAGATGTGTGTTGATTCAACAACGTTTGAAGCACAAGAAAGATCACATGTAACGCCTCGGATCCCATCAGAAAATTATTTTGGATCGTGTAGTCCCTTGGCTAATTTTCCTCTATCGCCTGCTTCTTTTGCATGGTGTTCTTCTATTCTTTTTAGCCCGGGTACACTTACTTCACCAAGCGCGGTTCAAATCATATAAGTATTTGTAACTTATGATTATTTCTTTATGTTTATTACTTGTGGGTTGATCAAGAATTTGAATTGGAATATCTAAATGGGAGATATCACAATTCAAATACTTGATGAAGTTGCTTTTTTTTTTCTTCTTTAAGATGTTTTGTATTTCCTAAATTTATGTTAATTTGTAATTTGTTAAGTACTTCACTATTTTATTCAATTCGGTTAATTACAGTGGCAGAGCCAGAAATTTCACAAAGGGTGTCCAAAAATAGCACAACAAAAACGCTTTTCAAAAAGTAGAACTAGTGATATTCGAACGCTTCTTCATTCTAAGAAGGTGAAACCACTAGGCAATAACAATTTTTTATGTTAAGGGTGTCCAAAATATATTATTTAATCATTTCGTGTATCATTTTACTTGTATATACGGTATTTCTTTCAACGAAGGCTGTCCAATTGGACACCCTGACCACCATATGGCTACGCCATTGGGGTTAACATGTGAAAGAGACAAATTAAGGGTGTCCAAAGTAGCCCATGAAAAAATTGACATCTCTAACCCAATCAAGTTTGGGCATGTCAATGACGTGCTCAATTATTTTGATCCGTCCAATTCAACTCATCCAGAGTCGAGACGCACCCAAACTTAAATTATAAATACATTTTTTAAAAGAGATACTTTTTTGTTTGTTAGTTCATTTCAATCTAAATAACTTTTTAACGAATCATTAGATTGCTCTTTGTCATTTAACCCATTTTAACTCACCAGATTTGACACTCCTTAAACAACACAAGAACTTAGAGAAAAGGCTATATATAGGCATAGGTAAAATGTGGCAAGAGTGAATGCAAACTAATAGGTTTACACAATCAAGTGAGTGCCACTAAATTGTGAGGTTTAGGCAAATTTCATACTTATTGAGCACACTAATTATAGCACAAAAAAATTAAATCCACGTAAGGAAAATTTAAATAATATTTTATAGGTATGTACTAAAGTTTTAGATTTAAAAATTATAACAATAAACATCTGACTTCAAAAATTCATGTGCAAATATTTAGAGCTTAAGCATAAATGTTTGAAGTTCATTACACACATCTAAAATAAGATGAGACGTAATATGATAACTCATGTTTGTCAACTTATATCGAGTGAATTGATTTAATGTACAGATTACCCACTGCTTATTCATATACCATAATTCAATTATCATCAATGTTAAATAAGTAACTCAAAACGAATAATATCAAATCAACGTGGTTCGTTACCTAAGATAAGAAAATAAAGATGTCATTAGCAAATTCAAATGAGTACCCATAACCCAAAAGCAACACAAGTCAGACTAAACTTTAAAATGTCAAAAGTAGATCTTAGCAAATCATATCAAATTTCAGACATAAAAAATTCAAATTTTAGTTTTCACAATGTCGCGCTTTCGATAAAAATAGGAAAAATTACAGAAATCCCATCTTTTAGTTTAGTTATTACCATTATCCCTTATAAATTTTACAAATTTCCAAAATCCCTCATTTTCGCGCATCAGGTTAGTGTATCTTGTGCATCAAATTAGTGTATCATGTATAAAATGTACATCAGATTAGTGTATCATGTATAAAATGTAATGTATCTTAGTTAACGGTTAATGTATCTCGCGCATCAGATTAATGTATCAGCGCTTACATTATTGTATCCGTTTGAAGGATTTCTGTAATTATAAACTTTTAAGAGATAAATTGTAATTTTACCTTAAAAGTATGTGATTTCTGTAATTTGCCCATAAAAATATCCTAGTATTCAACTTCTATCTCATACTCCCTCCAGCCCAATCTCTCATGGGCTTCTTATCTTGTTATTGGGCCTATTTACAAACAGTCCACCTCATGAACATTTTCAGGCCAGCTAGCCCACAAGCCACTGGATCCATCTTTTCTATAACCCAATAGAAATAGAGGCGGATGTAAAGTGATGACATCAAATTTAACCAAACTCAATATTTTCAATATAGTATGATTTTATGGGTAAAATTTATTACATTTGTAACGAATAATTAATATGAGTTTGTAACTTTTATATAATACAATAGTCTAATATAAATAACAAAGTTAGAATTTTTATCAAGATAAAAAATAGTGTAATTTTTTTTTAATAAATCCCTCGATTCTATCTAACTCCGCGCTCACGTATTGACGGTAAGCTAGAAACTTCTACTCTTATCCACCCACCTCGAATCATGAACCATTTCCTACATATTAAGCTTTATCCTTACACATTACAAGTACACCTCTCAAATGCTACGTGTCAAACACCCACAACACCATCCACGTGTCACTTCATAGCTCTCCTTTCCTCCACGTGTCCAATCCAATTTTCTTAACCACCTCAACATAAATACCATACCCCAATTCCTTCCCATTCATCACACTCCTTAAATCCCAAAAGTGCAAAAAAAAAAAAAAGAGTAAAATATTAAGAGATATTATCAGTGTTTTGTTATTAGAAAAAAAAAATGGAGTCGAGGCAAGCAGTGAAAGAAGAAAGAGCAGAAGTAGCTGCAAAAATAGCAGCAGATGAACTTAGTGATGTGAATAAAGAACGAAGGGATGAAAGTCAAAGAGATGTTGAACAACAGAAACCCGGTGTTATTGGCAGTATAATCAAATCCGTTCAAGGTACACTTGGTCATGCTAAAGACGCCGTCACTGGAAAAGCCCACGAAACCGCCCAAGTCGCCAGTGACACCGCTGATATAGCGGCGGAAAATGCAAGACGGTCTAAAGACGCTGCAGCTGATAAAATGGGCGAGTATGCTGATTATGCGGAGGATAAGGGTAAGGCCACTAAAGCATCTGTTTCAGATAAAACGCAACAAGTTAAAAATAAAGCAGGGGAGTATACAGATTCCGCTGCAGACAAGGCGAAGCAAACGAAGGATTATGCAGCGGAGAAGGCGAAGGAGGCAAAGGATACAACAATAGATAAGGCCAAAGAAGCAAAAGAGAGTGCAACTCGTAAAGCAACAGAGTACGAGGAGTATGCAGAGGATAAAGCTAAGGAAGCTAAGGATGTGACGATGCAGAAAACCGGAGAGTATAAGGATTATACGGCTGAAAAGGCGAAAGAAGGGAAAGATACTACGATAGGGAAATTGGCTGAGCTGAAGGATAGTGCGGCTGATGCCGCGAGGCGGGCGATGGATATGCTTACGGGTAAAAAGGAGGAAGCTCAGCAGAAGGTGGAGGAAACGGCTGAAGCGGCGAAACAGAAAGCTGATGAGACGGAAGGAGCGGCTAAACAAAAGGCAAGTGAAACGGCGGGAGCGGCTAAGCAGAAGGCGGATGAGACGGCGGGAGCTGCCAAGGTTAGCCGTTTATAGCCTTCTTGCTTAGTTTTCTTATAAAAATTTAGAATAAGAATGAAATAATACATGGTGCTTTGTTGTAGATTTTTTGGATGCCATTAATAAAATGTTGCAACAAATTTCGAGTAATCGATCTTGTCTTATTTTCAAGTCATTAATAGCCATATTTGCTAGGTGGGTAGCAGCTTTTGTGTAATTCTATATTTGTACTAGAAAATTAATTAATTTGTGAATTCCTAACAAAATTAATTGACGTTATTATAAACATATATGTATATTAATTTGTGAATTCTAACAAAATTGATTGATGTTAATAACGAAATTTAGAACCTCAAAATCTTAATTCTGGCTTCGTCTTTGATTTGCAATTGCGAAATGTGAACCCATTGGCTATATATTTTATCGTCTTGGATAAAAAAGATGAATGGTTAATAGTCTCAATTGCAGGAAAAATATCATGAGAGTGAAGAAGCAACAAGAAAAAAAATGGAGGAAATGAAAATGCACGAAGGTGACGATGATCACGATAGAAAAGTTGCTACCGGTGGTATTTTCGGTGCGCTTGGAAGCATATTAGCACCGAAACACACCACCGATGAGACAACTACAAGAGGAGGATCGAAGATCGTTGTGGATGTGGACGATACTCGGGCAGGTAAGACTGCAACGACGTTGAAACAGGCCGATCAGATGACCGGCCAAACGTTCAACGACGTTGGGAGAATGGATGTTGAAGGGAGTATTGCTCAAGTTGAAGCTAAGGATTCAACTGGGAAAAATGTGAAAGTGAAGTACTAAAGATAGATTGTGATGAATGCATATCTTTCTTTCTTTCTTTTTGGCTATGTGTTTTGTGTAACTTTTGAATTTGGTTGTATTTTGTATTGTGTGTTTTGGTTTGTGTTAAGAAGTTATATAGTAAAATCATATTTCTGTTTTGTTTCTTGTGATTATTTACTTTTCAAGTACTCTAAATTTAGGTATAGCAAATTATTAATTTAAAATAAATGTTATAATTCCTTTTTCATTTCAGCTTTTAGAAATTTCGCTCGTCACTCTCTCTCGCCTTTTCGCCTTCTTACTTTATACAAACACACTTTTTACTTTATACTTATACAAACACAAATGTATAAATTGTGTTTTTATTTGTATTTTTATATATATATATATATATGTTTTATACACTTATAATTATAAATACAGATAGTTTTCTTTTGTCACTTTCTTGCTTTATACAAACACAAATTATTCAAATTACAATGTATAATTTGTGTTGTATAAAGTGAGAGATTTGACATATAAATATTTTATTTCGATTTATGTATACAAATTTAAATTTTATGTAGATGTACAAATACAATTATGTATACATATACATAATAGTTATACATATACAATTATCTAAACAATATACATATACAATCGTTGTTGATGCTCCATAGCAAAATTGTAACTATAAAGCGCTAATATAATTTTTATGTTTGCTAAATCTAAAATTTACTTTATTTTGAACTATTGCTAAATGAACGTTAAGCCATGACTCACATAATGGGCCGAGTTGAGTTAAAGCATTAAGCTATTGAAATGGACTCGGATAGATCCATTTTGGCACTTCTAAAGTACTTTTGTTTGTGCTTAATTTGACGCAATGTTACAATAT